TAAAATTTTAAGACAAAAAGACAAAAAAATATACTTAAAAAATTATTAAAATTAAAATATAGAAATTCAAAAATTTTAAGTGAAAAGATAAAAATATACTTAAAAAATTATTAAAATTAAACTATTTAAATATATAATAATATTATTACAAATAAATTAAAATATATAAAATAAAAATAAAATAACTAAATAATTTAAAAATTAAAAGAATAAAATATCATAAATATTATTTAAATAAATTATTAAAAATATAAAATATAAAAAACTGTACCGGTATCTCAAATAAGATGGATACCATAGAATTTCTCTAAATTATATAACACATTACCTTATTATGTTCCATTTATTTTCAATCGACCTATCGATATATGTAGGTGTGTCATATAGTTGAATAGATAAGATTTTTGCTCATAAAAGAGATCTAGCAAGAAGGGTATTCAATCTTAAGAAGAGCATTGAGTCATGAGAAGATATTCAGTCATGAAAAAAGTATTCGATCGTGAGAAGATATTTGACCCTTAGAGAAGTATTCATTCCACCCTATTCGGTGGTTAAAACCATAATATTTTAATGTTTTTGAATCTTCGATCTAGAGAACCTAACCTATACAATATTATCCATATAAATATAGTAGATCGTGGAGATCTTTAATGACGAGTCAAGTGCTCGATGAGAAGCATACAAATGAATTGGGTATAACAGTTTGTATCGATGGTAGGTACTAGGTACTAGAATTATTGATTATGGAAAGTCTAAAATGTAGGAGAAATCTTCAACAACACGTCAAGTGAATAAAAACAATATTTTTTTATGAGGATAATAAAAACAACATTAAATATATATGCTTTAAGTTATATATATATATATACAAGGAGTGGATGAGTAGATAGATTTGTAACTACTTTATGTCTAATAGATGACACATAGATAGTAAAAAAATATTCAAAAGTTAACTTGCCTACTTTAAAATTATTACTTTTTAAAATAAAAGCTATTCACCGTAAATTTATCTTTTAATTCAACGAAGAAATTTCTCAAGTTAATTCTAATTTTTTTTAAAAATTATTATGTAAGGATAAATTTTCAAATTCAATTACAATTTTTTTTTTATAATAAGTAACTAGTTTTTCATTTTATACTTTTATTATAATTCATTCAATTATCAACATAATTAATTAGTTATTTTATGCTTTTGATGTATTTTAATGTTTAACTTATTACTAATTAATATAACGAATATTGTTATACTAGTAATCAATATATCAAAATGTTTGATTACCCAATAGTCCCTGTTAAAATGAATAAATTGATTTGATAATAACAACCAAAACTTACATCAATGGCTTCATGCATGTCAGGTACACCTAGAGTAATATTTTCTCCAATCCTTTCATAACCTCTGCAGCAGACACAAGGCCGTTATCAGCAGAAATTGGATTCATAAACCTGATGTGGCAATTACTGAAAGTGAAGCTTATATATGAAGTACATCGATTTAACCAAGCAAACCTGAACCCAGCAGCCGGAGTCATTTTGATCTTTGCCTTTTCTTCATATGGAAGTTCAAAGAATCTGCGTGTTACATCTCTAACCTCTTTGAGGAGAATATCAGGAATACCATGTCCTGTCTGTGAATCAAGAACCATAGGAATTGAACATTAAACACTAAGTGTCCCAAGTGTTATGCATGATTTTAAATTGCAGTCAGCTTTTTGAGGTTTCTGTAGTAATTGCAATTATGAGTTGTGACAGCATCAACTGCTTTTGCCCACAATCAAGGATAAAAATATTGGAGATGAAAAATTCATGGATTAATTTTCTATTTAATTTTAGTAGTAAGTAGTAACGTAAACTGATTCATGAATTTTTCACCCCTCTAGTAAACAGATTCTAACGAATGAGAGAGTAATCAATTGATTTCCTGAAGTTGAATAGAAGAACTCTATTCAGTCAAAAGCGTGTTGGTGGTAACAGTTTTGCTTAAGCTGTGCCATAAACGTAACTTGTCAAATTAACTTGGTAAGCGAAAACAAAGGTATATTCATTTACAATGAGTCATCCATTTCTCCTTCTTCCTCTTCATCCAATTTATTATTTTATCATCTCAATCTTCCTACGTGCCATTCTCCATCATCGAATTTTTTACATAAATAATATTTTTTTTTTAAAATTACAAAAATAACATCTGTACAACATTATTTACTCAACTAGAACCAATCACTGTTCATGCTCAGAATTCGGTTCCCGGGAACCGAATTCTGAGCTTCAATTTTTTTTTTTGTGCTCAGAATTCGGTTCTCGGGGAATCGAATTCTGAGTTGTTTTTATTTTTTTTTGCGTTTCTGGGAAGTGGAACGGGCCGTTCCGAAAGCAGAACGACCCGTTCTGCTTAAACAAATAGAGTGTTATTTTTGAAATTGAAACGGCCCGTTCTGCACCCGTTCCAATTTCAAAAATAACACTCTATGTGTTTAAGCAGAACAGGTCGTTCTGCTTACGGAACGACCCGTTCCACTTCCCATATTCGCCCAAACTGGGTCTCAAACGCAAAAAAAAAAAAAAAGATGAAGGGAAATGAGAGAATCAGCATGGGCAGAAATGTGTCTGCTTTGATAGGTAAATCTGTTCCTCACATTCCTGAAAAATGTAAGGACCCAGGTACTTTCTGCATACCTTGTATTATTGGGAATAACAAATTTGAAAATGCCATGCTTGATCTGGGTGCTTCTATAAATGTCATGCCTCTGTCCATTTTTAAATCTTTGTCTCTTGGTCCTATGCAACCTACGGGTGTGGTGATACAGTTGGCAAATAGAAGTGTTGCCCACCCTACAGGTTTGATTGAGGATGTTTTAGTTCGGGTTGGTGAACTGATTTTCCCTGCCGATTTTTATGTGCTTGATATGGAGGAGGGATTCTCTCATGGTTCCGCCCCAATCATTTTAGGTAGACCATTTTTGAAAACAGCCCGAACTAAGATTGATGTGTATGCTGGTACATTGTCCATGGAGTTTGGTGATTGTGTTGTCCATTTTAATATTCTTGATGCCATGAAACATCCATCTGAGGACCATTCTATTTTTCGTGCTGAGATACTTGATGATGTTGTTGATCAGTATGCTTCTAATTTTTATTCTTTGCATGATAAGAAACATTGTTTTCTATCTGATCTATATACTTCTCTTGCATGCACTGAATCTGAATCTGATTATGTTTCTGAGTTTGATTTTGAATCTGATTTTGTATCTGATGTTTTCGGTGTTGTACCCCTGGATATTATTTCTTTAGAGTCAGAATGCACTAACCATGTTGCAGGAAGTACAAAAGAATCTGACTTGCAGGTTGAGGTACAGGCTGCGGAACCACTTCTCCCTTCCTTGGTTCCTTCTGATGTTCAGCCAGCACCCACACCAGAGTTGAAGCCTATTCCAGAGAACCTCAAGTATGCTTACTTGGAGGATCATGAGAAGCTGCCAGTGATCATTTCCACCTCCCTTGATGCTTTTCAAGAGGAGAAATTGTTGCACGTTCTGAAAAAGCATAAGAAAGCCATTGGTTGGACCCTGGCGGACATTCCTGGTATCAGCCCTTCCACTTGCATGCATATGATACTCTTAGAGGATGGAGCTAAACCAGTCAGAAAGCCCCAAAGATTTTTTTTTTATCATTTTAAAATTTGAAATAACGTTTTTTAATCGCTATAAAAGGAGTGAATTTTAATTTAGATTTTTATAAATTTATAAATTTTCATTTTTTGAAAACCTAAAAAATTATTTTATCTCTAATATTTATTTTGAGGTAGATAACTAACATTCATTTTTAAAGATTTATATATAATTTTTTTTTGCTTTTTGTTTTGGAGTAATCATGTTATTGGTTCAAAATATCTACTAATTTTGTTGTCAATGAGTAATCTCTATCAATGAACTTAATTGATCACATGTAGTTGGTTTTTTCCCTTTTTCTTATTATCACATATTAATATAGTGTCACAATTACTATTGAGTGTCACTTAATCTTTCATTTAACACAAGTAATTGTCTGATTGTTACATGGTAATATGAACAAGATATAATATATTATATTTTGTCTAGTCACAAATACTCCTAATTCATTAGTTCAAAGACTAATATATTCACAATCTTATGACTACTCTAATCTAATGAATTGTGGCACACGTTGAAGATCAAATATGAATTTTTTCATTAAATAGATCTTTTCTATAACATATGAGCATAATCTGTTATGTTAACATATTGAATTTGATTTCGTATTATTGAAAGATAAAAATCAAATAAATAGATTAGAATTAAGATTTCTTTATTTTATAATGACTAAAAATATATTTAAGTGTATATAAATATATGTTTGTGACTTGTAAGCGTGTTTAAATTATTACCGGAGCTCTTTTGTCATGTAGTATTATTTCATTAATAATTTTTTATATTAAATTTATATAATTAAACATATATTATTGAATAGATAAAATCTACACTTAAAAAAAAGAATTACTATTTTGTTGAATAAAATTAATTTAATGTAAAATATATTTTTAAATGTACTTAGTAAATGTTGATTATAAAAATAGCTATATTGTAACAATCTGATTTATCAAAAATTTAATGTCCATAATCATCGAAGTAATATAAAATACTTAATAATTAAAATTTTGAAATTATATTCAAACATTTATTAAACACCCTAACTCGACGAAAATCTTCCTACCCATGTGAAGTCTCACATCGGTTAGGAAGGAGAATGAAGCATGCCATATATATGGGTGTGGATACCTTCCTTGTGTGGACGCGTTTTGGGGTGGCATGCCTGCCATTGCCAGAAACAAAACCGTGAGGGCTGCGGTCAAAGCGGACAATATCCACATGCGGGTTGCTCGGGTGTTACACCCCACACATATAGGACAGCGTATCTATTGACTAGTTTGTGCTTTAAACAAAATTATTGAAGGAACTTATCGTAAGTAAATTATTAGTAATTTATCAAAATTCTAATTCAATCCATATCGCAATACAACTTATATATATATATATATATATATATATACACCAATTCTAAACAATGAAGATGATGATAATCTGTGCAATATATAAAATTATAAGCAATAAATTGTTTTTTTATTCTAGTTATGAGTAATATTTATTAATTTTAAAACTATTTAAGGTTAATTAAAAATATTTTATACTTATCATTTATTGTTAATTCTATTATATATATAATCAACATTACATATAACAATCACTTAAAATAAAATTACTTAAAATAAAATTTAAATTTATGATAGAATTAATTAAAATAATTATATTAATTATTTTTCTTGATATTAATAGTTTCTCTTATGTTACTTATAATTAAAATAAAAGATAATATTAATTATCAATAAAACGTTTTAAAATGGTCTTATGCTGAGCTAGAATTTGAGGTAAAGTCTATTATATAATTTATATTTTTTTTTCATTCTTTACCTTTATAAATTATAAAATTCTTTAGCAAAGTTTATTATTAATTAAATAACGCTAACATTCTTCAACAGATAAAAAAAAATGTATTCTACTGCATAACCCTTTTTTTTTTTATCAATAAATATAGAATAGGATAAAATCTCTTACTAGACCACCAGCACTAATTATTAATTTTTTTTATAAAAAATGTTTAGTGAAATTAGATATCTCTAATAAAATATAAAAAAAGAATCGAATTTGATTCCAAATTTTAATTATTTAGAGTGAAAATACTTAATTAAGTGTATTTTTTTTATATGAATCAGCTGCATGACTAATCTCAAATAGTATTTAAAAAATATATTTTTTGAAAACTTTTTTCAGTGGTAGAAATAGTTAGTCAGGGTGAATAATATCCCATGAGTAATTCTATTATAAGTTATTTTATATATAAGTAATGTATGTAAATCATAATATTTTGATAAACTATAACTTAATACTTCTAATGATGCATTAAATTATTTTTTAATGTTTCTTTCAATAGCTCTCGGATTCCATTCCACTTCCTTTTTCTTTACAAGGAATTTGTCCCATGGGATGCACCAGAAAAGAAAAAGAAAAGGGGAAAATGTAACATGTTTTTGGAGGGTAACTTTTATGATTTGGTACACGCGAGAGAGGGATCCAAAGCTATGCAAACTGCAAAGTGTTTAAATTAAGAATTTTGTTAAATAAAATATTTAAAATAATGTATGTATCTTATTTAATTTATTTGGAAGTATATATAAGATACGAGACAAGTACTCGGATTCCTCTGAGAATGTAACAGCAAGTCAGAAACTGGGTTGGGGTGTCCTTCTCGATCAGAGCATCCATTTCTGATTCTGTACCCATAAAACATTGCGAAAAGGCAACATTTATTTTTACTTCTTCATTATATTTAGTATTGCTTAGATTTCAATCATGTAAAATATAAGTCAAGCAAAGTTATCAACTTACTTGGTCAAGAAGAGTCGGGGGAAATAGTTGGAGGGAACAAAGAAAAGAGTATATTAAATACAAACTTGAGATACAGTTTGTTCTCATACCTACTAATATTTGTTGAGTATTGTATTTAGAAATATATAAACATTATATTAATAATTATCATGTTTACACTTTATTCTTTCTTTTTATTGTTTTTAAGTGTCTATTAATATGGAGTGTTAATATATATATATATATATATATATATAATTAAATCATAAGAAAGATTATTATTATTATTATTATTATTATTATTATTATTATTATTATATATTCATTTACTTTAAAAACACACTAAAGAAATTGATTTTGCTGATTTCGTACGATGTTGACTTGAATTTCTCTTTCTCCACCAAACTCTTCTTCATTGGATTCATCCGAATTTCACCGTTAGATTGGGTAGCCAGAGAGGATACATTGGACATTAGCTTAGTGTCTTAGGATGTGATGTAATCATAACCTTACATTAAAATTTTAAACGCTGAGAATTTCCAGAAAACCACAACTTCCAAAAAAGGAACATATAGTGTTAGACTTGGCATATAAAAAAACCACTTTCTTAGAACTAAAATAGGACATTTTTTCACTCGCTTTCTATCCCACCGGTGTTTGTTCCTTGGGTGAGCTCAGGGTCTTATTCAATATTGTTACGACGAAAGGCTAGGTTGCTTGTTGATAAAAGACTAAAAGTGAAAATAGGTACCAATGAATTAAGCCTTAAAGCTCCATATTTAGGTTCAGTTCAGGGTTCCACTGGCTACAAAAACTTATGGCCAACCAACAAAAACAAAAATTATTTACTATTCCATATATTGAAAAGAAAAAAAAAAAAGACTTCATATTTTACAAAAAAATGTAACATATCATTCTTATTTACTTTATTTGAAGAAGAAAAAAATTCTCTCAAAGTTTATTTTATGTTTTATTTATCATTTGAATCTTTATTTCAGTTTTAAATGTAAGTTTAATTTATTTATTAATTTGATATATATATTATTTTTAGGAATGATTTGTTACATATGTCGTAATTTTTTTTCTCATTTACCCTCAAATTTACTTGTATTTTTTAGTTAGGATACTTTTGAATTTAATATTTATGTTAACTTAATACTTTTATTATCTATTTCATATCCAATTTTAATGTTTTTTTTATGAGTCATGGCTTCTATTTCAAAACAAAACAATGATACATTTATAATTTAATAATTAACATGAAATCAAAAGTTACTACATGACGATTTATTTTTAACTTGTTAATATATTATGTTTCTACATTTTTACAAAATTTAAAAATTATTTGATATTTTATTATATTAATTTAAATTAACATATAATTATTACAACTATTATATTATTCAATAATTTTATATAAAATAATAATTTTTTTATCCAATTCTTGAATTACATTTTATATTATTTTAAATATGTATATCAAATTTTATTAAAATCGAAGAATATTAATGAGAAGATTATAAAATTGTTCATATTTCAATATGTTTTGAAATGTATATATTTCATATTAATTTTAATTTATCAAGTTTAGATTAATAATTTTTTTTATGTATGATTAATGAGAAATAAACTTTCATTCTAAGCCCTATATATCCTAATATATAAGTTCGGTAAACATTTTCATGTTGGTCTTCAAACACCAAAGAAATTGTTCATTTCAGTCTACTGATAGTCATAGTTAATGATATAATAGATTTTTTTATAATATAAAATTTATATTTATTTAATTTCTATAAGAGATAATGGTCGAATCGAATATATAGAAATTAATATATATTAATCAAATCATGATTTTTTCAACCTATATTTTAAGTTCATGGAAATAGTAAGGTTGATTGATCTAGATGAAAATCACTGTTCAGAATTATTAAGATTGGTCTGGTGATAGAAATTGTGGTAATATAAAGTTTTAGATTTGAATTTTGTTATTGTTATTTTGATTAATAAAATAATGGTCATCGTACACTTATTTTTTATTTTGTTTTTAGTTTTGTATATGGTATTGTGTATGATATCTTTTTATATTTTTTTTATTGTTGAATGCAGTTAATTTGGAGTCTTATAACTAGGGATGGTAATGGGGTT